GAGCAAAATTTGTATTCACGTAAAAATATGCTCATGCTCATGGGTATGTGCTTCTCACGAGTGAGCAAATACAAACTCTGGTAACTACTCAGAGAAAACTCTGTATTTTATTACTTTTAGAATGATACGAGTATTACAAGAGTAATGAGTACTCACATATTTTGAAATTCTTTAGTGTTTTCTGAATACAATAAACGTAAAGAGTTTATTTTTTCTACGTTATGAACTTCGTGGAAAATAGTCCGCGAGTTTCAATATATTGAATACCAAAGCGATATTTTTCCTAATATATGATATATAGGTATATATATTAAGATGGATGTATAATTTGTTGAAAATAAATCAAGCAATATATGTGCAAAAAAAATAAATACTAATAAAATAATAATAATAATAAAACATAAAAGAAGGAGAAGCACTTTTTTGGTTTGGTTTTTATAAGTTGCAGTTAAACCGCACTTGCTTGGAACATCAGTCGCGTCATGTTGATACGAAACATCCTTATTGTTATTTTCTGTATTTATGTCCTTACAACTATAAGGAGTGGCCTTTAAGAATGCACAAAATAAAAAAAATAAAAGAACAAAGTAAAAAAATATAACAAAAAAATTTTATAGAAGAAAATGCAAGGAAAATACATTTAACCAACTTACCCATATACCATATACCATATGAACTAGGAATGAAAATCCCATAATCTAACCAACGAAGCAACTAAACAGCAACTCTCTACCTCAATACCCCAAATTTAGCTGCAGGAAAGCAACAAAATATTTTATAAACATTGCGTTACATTTTAAGCTACAGCTTTAATATTCCGTATCCACCCCTTCACCACCATGGTAAACCCCAGCACTTGATCTTCTGCCCGTAACGCTTCGCTTTTTAAGCAACTTTAGTACGTAGTACGTAGCTAAGAAAAGTTTTCTAATTAATTCGCAAGAGACATGCGGAACTACAAAAACAGTCACTCGTACTCGCTTTGGTAACGAGTGGAGCAGGCAGGCTGGCAGGCTGGCAGACTGGCAGGCACACCGATGATGGCAATGGTTGCAGCAAAAGCATCACGGTACAATGATGATAATGACGACGATAAGGAAATAGCACAAAAATAAAAAGAAATTAAAATATTTAAAAAAAAAAAACAAAAAAAATTAAAATACCTACATAAATATTTTTTTTTTTTTGACATCGTCAACGTCTTCAAAATAATAATTTTTGTTTTTACTTCTTTGGTGTGTGCGAGTACTCTGGTACTCGCATTTTCCAACTCCTTCTTCTGTCGTAGCGACGATTTCTTCCATAACGTTTTTGCTACTCATGGATGCTTTCGCAATTTCTATCTATCATCTGCTGTATAGCGTAACCCCTCAGCACTCCACTTTTGACAATTTCAAATTAGTTGACAACTTTGCTGTCACCTTTGAATTCCCATCCATTAGAGATTTAAAAATTGTTTTGTTAAATGAATGAATTTTTAAACGAAAAGTTTTATGGATATTAAAAAAACTGGAAGGTCCTAGGCGAAAATATTTACAAGTTTATAAATACAAATAAAATTTCACAAATTTGAAAACTATTTCTGTGTTTAAGCAATAAAAATCGGAAGTTATGAAATACACAATGAAATGGAACCAAATTGGCAGAATATGGTTAGAGTCTGGGTACTGGAGTTTTGATACCATAATTTCAATATAAAAATATATTTAATTAAATTCACCTTTGCTTCAACTAAAAATGGACCGAACATTTTTTAGAAATTAATATAAAAATATGAACGAAAATAGCTACAACTTTGCTGAATTATAAATTCTTTTATATATTCATCTTTATTATGAATCATCTATTTACTGCTTACTTCTTACTATATTTTAGGCATTAACGAATGTACAACCAACATGCCACAAATGTGAATATATTCTAACCACGAGCCATCTCATACACTGCTACAACAACCCAACCAACCACACCAGCTTTTTCAATGCAATCAAGCATATAGTGACTACTATATAATACAGCTCCACCTACCCAAAGACACACTAAATAAAATTTAGATATAATTCTCAATATGAATATAAGAACAAGGTGAAGAACCTAGAAGGCCAGTTCCTTATTATATATAGTATTTTATATTCAAGCATAAGCATAGCGACTACTATATAAGAAAGCTCCACTCACCCAAAGACACACTAAATAAAATTTAGATATAATTCTCAATATGAATATAAGAACAAGGTGAAGGACCTAGAAGTCCAGTTTCATATTATATATAGTATTTTATATTGCGCTATATGTTATATAGTATATAGTACTGTTATGTAGTATTATATATAGAGCAATAAGAATAGAATCGATCCATATTATTCATATAAAATTCTGAACTAAATAAGCTCTAAATGTTTTTTTTTGTAGTTACTTCTCTCAAAATTGGTGCTAAATTTTTAAGAGTGAAATTTGTTTTTAATTTTTTAGAAAAAAATTCAAATTTGCCTTAAATTTTTTTAGAACTACTCCGGCTCTATATTAGCTCTATATTAGCTTACAATTAAAGCTTGGTCAATTTTTAATGGATCTAATCCAGTAGAGAGACCTACAAAAGTGTTGAAATAGACAAATAGGCATTGCTAAATCGTTTCATCTCCATACTTTGATTTGAAACCATCCTCATTATTATAATTTGATGTTTTTACAACCTAGTTTGGGCCAGAAGTGACTCAAGTCTTTGTCTTCAATGATCACTATCATTGACTATTATTTCCAGTTTTATGCCTCTAAGTTCTTGACGTGTTTATCAATACCGCGTGACTTCAGTTCTTCCTCATGTCTGTGTTTCATTAGACGCTCTTTTAAATGTTTTTCTTATTCTAATATTATCTTTGCACACAATATACCCAGTACATATATAATATGTATATAATATGTATATGTATATAATATGTATATATACAGACAGTGATTATATCGTACATGTTAACTTTCTTTTCAAGTGCGTTTTCATTTGTTCTTAACAATATCCATGATTTTGTTTCATATGTCAGCACAGAAAGTATTATTGTTTTTTACGTATACATTAGTTTTTTTGATTTGTTGGGTAGATAGCTTACTTTTAAATAAGGATACTAATTCATAGAAAATGGTACTGATAGTCTAACGTTTATTTCTCCAGTCTCATCGTTCATAATTGCGTTTAGTTTGAAGCTTCACACTGTTTTAAATAATCTGATCGGATATACAAAGCGTGACACCTATTAATCGAATTTTTCTTTCAGTAATGATTGGCTGAATTCTCGTGTTTTCCATATTTACATTTAAATACAGACATAGTATCTAGAGTTCTAGAGAATTGAGTAGTGAAAAATAAATGTGTTTCCTATACTCTAATCGTCTATTCCGAATTTCAAGCACGTTAGATACTACTGAGTTTTCAAAACGGTATGCCTAACTTTGAATTGAATATACTACAATTGAATTTTACATCCTTCAAAACAATATCCACTTTTTTAATATACTTGCATTTTTTGTATAAAGTAATGAATATATCTAATCTGCATGAGATTGGATTTATTCTAATCCACATAATTAAAATTTATGGATGATGGGTATATAGTAAGCTAAAGAATGTATAAGTTTTTATATATAGGTTTTCTATATTAGCAATAAAAGGGATAATTTTCTCTATCAATGTAATCAATATACTGTGAACTTCTATTTCTTCCACTTCTATTGTCTAACAAAGAACAGTCAAATCATAAATGCCCCAAATGGTCTATAAAGAGCTCTAATATCTATTTCATATTTTATGGCAAAGCTTAAATTGGTTACTGCTTTTCTAATTAGACATGCTTCAGTTTAGAATTATTATTCAAAGATGGAATTAAAAGGCATTGACAATCTTCTAGCCCCTTTGCGGTAATCGCATATCGGACTCATGAAGTTTTTGCTCTACTTATTGCAGTAGAAGCCAACACCCATATATATAGGATATGTTTTAGTGTATTTTCCCCTATAACTGTTGTCATATTTTCCTGTTGCGCAGAATAGACTTTGTCTTCTTTATTGAATTAATCCAGTGCACAAATTTTATTTGGATTACATCATTTTGACTGGTACATGAGCCTTAATATATAAAACTTTACACCAATCAAGTGTAATTATTGATTAGATTAATGTATTTGGTTAAACAATAGACCTTTTGGTCTAAGGTGTATCTTGTTGTTTTATAATAATAAGAATGTATCATATAAGAAAGTAAGTTTATCTTATTACAGTGATTTAACGGTTCCACTTAAACCTATTGGCGTAAGAACATGTAAACGGATTATAAACTAATGAAAAAATTCCTGTATTTTATCAGACCACTAATGATAAGTACTTAGCAATACTCAAATCAGCTTTGTATAGTCAGCTAAATTTCAATAAATTAACTAAAATTTTTGTTGTTTTTTCGTTTCTATTCGAACCTTTCTTTTGTTTCTATTCGAACCAAAAAAAAAAAAAATTCACAATAAAAAAAACTTGATTTGAACTAAATTAGATTTATTTTCGCGTATAAGTGCTTACTATATCCAAATTATATCTGATATCTTTATAGGATATCTCAAAGTGGTTGCTAGATTCTTGATGTTTGGGATAAGCAGTTTTGGGTACAGAAGTCAGTTACAAATTGTTGATTCCCCCTATCTTTTATTATCAAAAAATAAATTATATTATGTAAAAAAAGAAATTTGAAATAAATCACAAAAAATTTGAATGCAATAATAAGTTTATTAAGGAATGATATAGTTGAATTGAAATTTGGCTGAATATTTTCAATTTCTTCGAGTATATCATTATTTCTCTGAAAATTTATATCAAAAGAAATTGAAGTAATGAATTTTGAATAAGTAATGTTGAATCAAATAAATTTATGCAAAATTTCTTATTGATTTTTTTTTCACCATCTTATCCTTATGCTCAATAAAACAATTCTTATCGTTGTTGTTTTTCTCCTTTCTTTGCAGCGATTTAAGGACAATGACATCGAAGTTAAGCGAAAGGATGGCATACTACTTTTGCGTGAGTTAGCAGCTGAGGTGAAGAATTTTATGGATTTCAAGCGTAATGCCGTTATGGTAAGTTCACAAACCATTTCTAGCAACTAACAGCCAAAGCCCAATACAGTTCAATGCTTTCACATTGGTATTTGAAATATGGCCAATGACAAGGACTAAGAAAATGTGTAAGACACGCCACAGAAAGGCACAAAAAAGCAAGAAGACTAAGCCACGAAGATTGTGTTATAAAATATTTAACTTAGAAGGGGGCATGAACATGTATTGGGTTATGTTATTACATATAAGTATATATGGCTTTGTGACTATGTCGATACGAGCATTCGAGATTCCTCAGACCACATTTCCATAGCTCAGATTTTTTTCTTTTTTCTGTACGCACTTCTGATTGCATTTTCAAATGAAACCATTTTCCAAACACCCGCAAGGCTACTTTAAATTGAATTGAAAATGAATTTGTGAAATAATGTGAAATACGTATTTTGCAATGTAAATAACGAATCAATATGCATATTAATGGAGTAAAGGACACTGCAATAAAAAAATAAAAAACAGAAAATATAACTGTAGTATAGAGCCTGTAGCAAATTTAAAACAAAATAAAAAAGCAATAATAATCAAATAAAATGCTAAAAATATTAAATAAAACAGAAAAAAAAATAATTCAAAACCAAAAAAAGAAAAAAGAATTAAATGCAAAACAAGGATATACGAGCAGCGGAAAAAAATATCCTTGCCGCTGGTGCTTATGCTTTCCAATTTGACAAACTGCGAAAATTTCATTTCATCCCAACACATCAGCACCGCCACTGTGAGTGATGGTGAAGTGGGGGATTTGCTGACAGGGCGCGTAAAACTTTACTAAGTTTCCGAGCCTATTTGATGGATTATTCTCGCTGTCTTTCGCCGTTGATTTGTGTATCTTACTCGAGTATTTTTATTTTTTTGTTAAATGTTTTTTGTTTTTTGTTTTTTTTCATTTTGCGAATTTTGTTTTTGTTATATTTTTGCTTTCTTATGTTTTTATCAGTTTTACTTCCTATTTCACGCATAAAAGTATTTTGACCTACATTTTTTTAACGATTTTTTACTGTCTTCCAAATTTTATGCCAGCATATCATACCACTGTTGCCAACATTGCCATGGAACAGGACGAAGCAGCACTGCAGCACTGCCGCACTGCCGCACACACTTTCAGTTCCTAGTATCCTGCAGCTAAGAGTGGCGACCGTAGTTTGAGTTTTATTCATGTTCGGCAATTGAATTTCCAAATTTAACGACTTGTCATTTGATTAGTTCGTTGTTTGGTCCTTTTTAGAGAAATGCTGTCAACAAATTCTAGCTCATCAATTTTGAATTATGGAACATAAAATATATTTCTCATATCTTCAATTTAGTCTCATCTTATTCCTATTTTATCCTATTGCCTTAATGTACTTTTCACTGAAATACACTCGCAATTATGTTATTATATTGTATCTTCATTAAGCGAGTATTAGAAAAAAGGATTTCAATAACATATAAGAAAGCTTCCACAAAACATGCTTAGGATATCGAAACCTGTTAGACCGTATAATGAATTTAAATAAATCGAAACTTCTTAAAAGTATATAAATATGACAGCAAATAAAGAAAATTTATTGTCGATTAAGTCGGAAGTAATCTCAACTAACCTGATGAATATATGTTTTCAGATGTCTGATTTCAGCTCGTAATTTTTTTTAAGACACTATTAAAAAATGGGTTGTTCACAGTGGGAGGATAGTATAAAATATCTGGGGGTCACTTTTGACAAACGGTTCAATTGGCTTAAACATTTGAAATACAAACGGAATAGCTGATCTAAGATTCTACATTTATTAAAGCCGCTATTTAATAATTATCACTTCAACTTTAAAAACAGAAAGTTACTTTATACGCAAGTAATTAGACCTGCACTACTGTACGGATGTGTTACATATAGCAAAGCCTCAAATACTACCTTAAAGCAAGTACATATAGTTCAAAACCTGGCTTTAAGAAAACTGTTTAAGATTCCATGGTATATTAGATCAACAGACATACATAAAGACCTTAGAATTGACTCAGTGAAAAAATATATCAAAAACAGAGCTCTAAAATTATTCACTAAAGTTGATACGCTAATTAACCCCGCCCTAACAATCCTCAAGTCCACTTCTGGACTCTCAGGAAGATATGCTGATTTAAGGTCCATAATCAACTAAAAGACAAATAAATGATATGTTTTTTTTTTAGCCTAGTTAAAGCCTAGTGTGGGGTAGAGATAAGCTCCCCAGCTATTATAGAGTAAAAATGCGTAATAGCACTAACTCAAGAAGAAGAAGAATCAAGAATCAAGAAAAGTTATTTTAAAAACTTGATTCATTTTTCGCTCCAATGTTATATTTCTGCTCAATACACAATTATAGTATGTTTGCACTGCTCACTTAGTAAGTTCAACAAACTAAGTTCAGTTTACATTAACCATACAAAGCGCTTCCATAAAGTAAAAGCATATTCACATTATCTCATTTAGGCGATTTTGATCATTATAGTCACTAATGAGGATGATTTACCATACAAAATGCTTTCATACAAATGAGCTCATTATCAATAAATCAGCTTATTTAAGGCAAAAAATGTAGAATGCAACCCTTAAAAATAAATTTCCCACAAGGGCAATTACCAAATAAGTGTAAAATGTAAACAAATAATAGCTGAACTGTAAACAAAGGTAGTGAGGAAGTAAATATTTAATAAAATCTTTGTTCTTATTAATTATATATGTAATTGATATATAGAATATAAATAAATGAATCGGTACACAACAATATCAATTATATATTTTATTGTTTGTGTGAAGTATTAGTGAGTAAAATATTTCTAAAAGAACAGAAGCTCTCTTAAAACTTTCAAAGCACTTTCTGATACATAAAATCTCTTTCACATGCAATAAGTAACTTACGTTAATGGAAACGACAAAATCCTAAAGTTATTTAAGTAACTTACTAAGTAAACAGTGGAAACATGATATTAAACTACAGTCGCTGGCTAGAATTGCTGACTGTACCCACAGTAATCCAATTATGCTGTATTATTAAAATATATTTACAGTTAAGAAATTAACTGACAGTAAATTAATCTTGAAAAATTAGCAATTTCCAATGATTAAGTAAATTTGAATAGCTGCGGTTTATGCGTAAGTTTTAAATAATAGTACAGGAGCTGCAATAGTTGTTTATGAATAATGATTCAAAGTTGACAAGGTTTAATTTCCGAACACGGGCAATTAAACCAATAGCTATTTTCAAGGACCACTGATTATGGATATTACACGATATCAGAAACAGCTCTATGTGGTAGTTTCATTTGGATTTGGAAATGCATTTACTCAATTTAATTTTTGATATCTTTTACTATAGTGACGAACTACTGTTGTTTAATCGTACGTTTAGTCTAAACCCGCATTTTCGCTATATATTTCGATAGTTAATATAATAAGGCTCGTCAGTGAAAAAGTTTGTTTGATTTCGGGAAATAGATTTTGCTTAATGCTTTTCCAAATAATGACAAAGTGTCAAGAACAGAATTTTCGGTTTATTTTATTTTAGTGTTATGAAGAAAGTGGAAAATGCTGTTTAAACAAAAAGAAGAGAATTGGAAGAGAATAGTAGATTTTACAATGTTAGTTAGTTAGTAACTTGAGGTGGAGGGAGGAACGCATACTCCTCAATGAGCTAAGAATGCCGTTTTGAAACTACAAATCTTCATAATATTGAGTAGTAAAAAGGTCAAACAAGAATCAGCCAGAGGCATTTGGCTAGATTAGACTGCCAATGTTAATGCTGTAGCTATCGTCAAATACACTGATTCTGGCCAACAGACACTACAGGTGAGAGCACAATGTAATGCGACTGAAGAACTGAAGAATATTAAACTAAATGAGAATTATAATTGCTTGAAAAAATTAAAAAATAAATTAAAGTGCTCAGATTATTCATAATAGTTTCTATTACACCATATATTTACATATTTACTGAATATTTACTAGTAGTTTTTATACTGATCACATTAATAGTCATACCAATCATAATAGTGACTGTTTCTTTTATATGCTGGTTATTGCTACAACTATTATATTATATAGTTAGTTATTCATGATTTTATTTCATGTCTTTACGATTGGATTTCGTATTTAAATTTCATCTGTAGTAGTCAAAAGAGTAGCATATTTATCATACAGTTTTACTGACAACTGCTGAAGCTTATGTACTAAAACCAATAAATGTCATTAAAAATAAATACTCATTTCTAAACTTATAATACCATTCAAAGCCATTTCTAATATTATTTATTTGCCTTCATATCCGCATTTGATGTCGCATTGCTATGCAAAACGTTTGCGTTAGTATTCAGGATAACTTAGCATTTATATGTACATAGAGATGAACAATATATAGATTTATATATATATATATATGTATGTATATATAATAATTCACTTCATTCATATACTTGGCACGCACACTTATTATTGTAAAACGAAATTTCGTATTCCGGTTGCGTTACTAGTCAACTTGCGTATCCTACTACTGGGGCAAGGATGCGCTAAAGGACACTCGGTAAGTGGTCAACTTATGAAACCAATCACTTGTTAGTCATTTGACTTTAAATTGGTTGTGTAATATTAAATGTTACAATATTTAATGAAAGTAAAAGTTTTTTTATTGTTTATTAAGTTTTTTATTAATAAAACTTTTGTTAGCTCTTCGTAACATAATTTATATATAGAGGCAACAATGGCAATGATAAAGTTTCCAAAATACTTAATAAGAGCAATTAAAGCATAAATTGAGTACTACACTTAATTGGCTTCTTTTATGCCATTAAGATACATATAATTTGAAAAGGAAAAGAAAAGATAAGGAGCTCTAGTGCAACGGCACACTTACATCGAATCGGCTACTGTGACAAAGGAGGCCGAAGAGGACCATCAAAAATAAGACACTGATCACTAATCAAGTCATAAGGCCTTTCCTCTTATATGGAAGCATAGCAAC